GGCCACATCCATTAATGGCTTCTTGCTTTTCCTCTCTGTTCAATTGTTCACCACCTTTCCAAGGATAAAACTTCCATCAAGGTGAATTATTTTCCCTTATAACTTGTATATATCGTTTTCTTTACTGTAGGAAGAAAAATAAGAGTCTATCCAATGTTTAGTTCGGTAATATTAAAAGCATTTAACTTTAAATTACTATCGAAATACAGTTTTACAACCTAATCTTGCAGTATCAAGCTTATTAAATCGAATATTATAAGTAGATTTCAAGTGTGAATAACTGAGTGATGTGATTTATATTAATATCCTATGTTGGCCTAGGATTACATGGTGGAGCCATTAATTTGATTGGCTTGCTGTACGATTCTATTCGATTAAAAGAAGAATATTTTATATTATTGGTTATCATGTGACTAAGAGAGAGAAAAACCTTACGATACGTAGTATTTTCTAGTGTGCAACAACATGACATAAAGTACAAAACCACCTTCATGTACAAAGTTAAGCTTCCATATGGAACATTGGAATACGTTATACGTGAAAAACTGACAAAGAAAATGCTCCTTCTTTCATCTAGGCTGCTAGGAAGTAGAAAGATCGAAAAGAAGTCATGTATAAAGCCTTAAATAATTGTGTGTATATATAAAATATATATCATATAACTTGAAGGAAAAAAAGCACATAATATCTTCACTAACAATAATATAATTAAGATCAACACCTGAAATAATTCAATTGATATGTTCATTTATTTTCACAATAATAATTGACATTAATCTCGAATATGTAATCGAAATAAAACACAATATAAGTACTAAGTAAGCTTATATATCTCAAATTTTTACTTTAATGCTCACTCTTGAATCCAAAAAGTATTAAGTCAATTAACCCTTCCCCATGATGGCATAGATAACAGGCTATAGTTTTGGATTGTGCCTAATTCATAATTTTTCTACTAGTGATAGACAAAGAAAGTACATAATAATAAAAAAAAACAGCTAAGGGAAAATTTTGGGCTGTGTATGTAGGCCATTGACAATGAAATTTGATACGATATTTTCACAAGGTGAGCTCATATTGCTAGGTAGACAAACCACTACGTATCAGATGAATAGATATTTCACAAAGGAAAAAATAATAATAAATACAGATAGTTGCAATTTAAAACATATTTCATATTAAGAGGTAGACAAGAAAGAGAATTATTAAACGAACTATTAATGTCAACAATGGAAATGGTCGGTCACCGGCGTGAAACAAGAGGGTCACCCAAGTTGGCAATGGAGTAATTGGAAAATAGTTCGAAAATGACAAGATATGCTCACTTATTAATTAAGGTAGTAATTGATTGACCGACTTCTTTTCTTTTTTGTTTTCATCAAAATCATATAGTAATTCATAATAATCATAAGGTGATTCATAGCAGTGAATGCTGGATCTGAGAGGAGGTTTAGGCCCCATTAGCATTATTTCGATATAGTCTCACCTGTCTTAATCACCGGCTACCGACCCAATTTTTACAATTTCTCAATTCCGCCATGTGCTTTTGCCACATTATTTTTCAACTTGAAGGCAACATCATCCAAAAGGCCTAATCTCTTTGGTAGGTACCAATTCTTCAACTAAGTTCTGAGGCTTCCAGGAAAGCTAAAATGTAATCGATTTCCATTCCAACTTTTTTAAGGATGGTCAATGCAACGGCCAATTAGGAACCTTGACAAGTAAAAGGGTTGGTCACCTATTAAAAATTATAAACTAAGCATCATCTGAATATTTGGCTTAGGCTTAATATATATTTCATGTTCAAAGAATCGTGTTTAAATTTCTCCTCCTTTAAATAAAAAATATAATATAATATTAATTTAAATTTAATTTAAAAATATATATAATATAATATAAAAAATCATTTTATACTCACATAATATTGATATGATAGTAAGTAGAGGATGAAAAATGTAATAATTATGTCATCCTGTTATATTTGTATTCATTATAATATTTTAATTTATCACGTTAACGTCATATAACATAAAACGACAAGTGACATTTTAATTAATAATAATTTAATAATTTTTAATTATAAGAATTTATTTAATTAAAAATATAAAAATATAAAAATTTAATTAAATATTTTTAAATACTTCATACACTTTTTTAGATTTTATACTTGTTTTAAAACTTAGAAAGTAATCTTGAAATTAGAAGGTCATTATAAGCATAAATTACAAAGTTTTGATAAAGGCCAAAACAGAAAAAGCACCCCAAAAGAAAATATGATAGAAAGGTAAAAAAGTTGGTACGGTCGGCATATACTGGGTAAGTATATTTTCTACTTAAAAAAGACATTATCTCTGAGAGCATAAAGATGATTCTGAAATGGACATGAGATATGCTACGATGGGGGCAAACATTTTCTTCAGGAAATATATGTTTTGCATGGATTGCATCGATGAATTAAAAGAAGCAATGTCACGTGCACTAGCCATAGACACACATATAGTGAGTGCCCTTTCACCTTTTATCATATCTGTCCCGAGCATCCACCTTTTTCTTTCTCCACAGCTTAATTCTTGTTCACTACTTTAGAATATGCCCAAACATATATGTAACACGAATTAAATTAAACCTACGTGTTCATTATGTCTGCTCTTTCTTCTTTTTCTTCCTCCACTTCCTTCTTGTTTTTCAGTGAAAATTTGACTCAATATTTAAGAAGATTTCATTGTATTCTTACTTTACCTTTTGATAATATATAAAAATTTTGGGAAGAATTATATTGTTTCCACATTCATTTTTTTTATTTGGTTCAGTTTTTTCACTTAATTTAATTTATTTTATTCTTTTTCATTTTTATAAAATTATTTCATTTTATTTATTTCTCTGGTTTTAAAATTTGTATTTTGTTTAATGAAGTTGAATTTTTTTAATTAATTAAAAATAAATTAAAAGATTAGCAAACCGTTTTGTTACAACTTTTTGAGTTTTAACTTTTCTTTACAACACTTTTCAAACAACTCCACTGAGATAACATTTTTGTACAATTAATCATTTCTCCTTTAAACTGAATTAAATTTTAAGGTACAAAAAGTCTTGAATATTCTCTTTATACCAAAATTAGTCCACTTGCAACTTATAGATCATATTTCCTTAAAAGTTGCATTTTGATGTCTTTAAATTAGGCTTGTAATTGAATTTTCTTGCAACTTACTCTTTTTCCTCTCTTTTCTTCCTTGCTTATCATTTTAAAAAAAGAAAAAAGAAACAGAAGAAGAGGATTTTGTTTGAGTAAGAGTGAAAAAAGCAATATGATTTTATGTATGGTGTTTTTTTTTTTTACTGTTTTCCAACAGTAATACCCACTGCCTCAAAAGACAAGTACCAAATCCACTAGAAAACTTTACTCCTAGTTGTCATTAAATTTTTTAAGTACATAATTATTTAATTAATTATGATAAGTCAAGTTTTGGTCCTTAAAGTATACGATGAATGTTGACCAGTGAAACAAATTATCTGTTGAGCTTTCTTCAACCAAACCTTTCTATTATGGTCATTGGTTATTAATTTTACACTATAATATATCTCATGATAAAAATATTCTTCCAATGCAACTTACATGTTGAACAACGTTCAACTATTAGTTAAATAAAAAATAATAATTTTAAATTTTAAGAAGCTAATTATGGACAGCTAACTTAGCACCTTTTTCCCACTGGATTGTCTGGGAGAGGGAATCCAAAACAGCGTTCCTAATTTGGATTACATGAACCTTTCCACCTAATAATCCAATGCCAATTGTACTTTTCCCATTTCTAATTATAATTAGCAACAACCGCAGCCTCCCCTCTTCAATTTCTGTTTTAACGTAGTTAGTGTGCTTATCTAGTGTTAGATTTATATAAAGGGAAAGATTAAGAATTGTTATTGTCTAGACTAATGGTCATATTTAACAATATCATAAAATATATGTGGCATTATTAATTAATTTATTAATTTATTGTAAATAAAATAAATAAATATGTTTAACTAAATGGTCAAGATTATGAAATCTTTGTACTCCAGCAGTATTAATCATTCAGTAGTAATCCTAACCAGGTTCAACTGGATACATCTTATGACAGAATATCTAATATGACTGGGTTTTACAAAGCACATTCTTCTTTTAAGTATTCATTTGCATCAATTTAAGTATTGAAAATTGGAACAAGACAACCAGGAAAAAGGATTTGATAATCAGTGGCTAATCATACCCCTAGAACCCCATTAAAAAAATCACTAACCAATCAAAAACGTACTAAGTTTAATCCACCTTTGTTTAATTAAAGACTTGGTCTTAATCTTCCACAAAACACTCTTTACAATTCTTTTTACTTGCTGAAAGCAATAGTAATAAAAAGGTCTCATCATTAACGAATTTCCCACATTGGAAACCCATCATTAGAAAACGGAGGTCCCACCAAGCTTCCCCAAAATGCGAGAAAAGTTAGGATACAGTTTGGAGTAGGTTAATTACGCTCCCCTCATCATACGTCAGCCTAAAACGAGGAGTAGCTTTACGAAAGAAGACTTGTCAAGTGGATATTTTATTAAAGGTAAATGTATTAGAGCCACTTATTTTATTATAATTATTATTAATGTATTAATTTTAAAATTTTAATAATATTTATATTTATAAACATTCATTTGAGGAATCCCATACAAACCATGGCCCCGCCACCGTGTCACCATCAAGCGGCACCCACGACAAGTCAAACGCCCGCCGCTGTAAAACCCAATTCACACGTGAGCTACAGCCGATCCGCAAGCGACGTTTTCATCGCCTTCTAAATAAACTAAACCAATCTTCGTCTTAACTCTTAATTAATTTTACGCTTAAAATTAATTAGCCAATTATTACCATTAACTGTCAAAAATCAAAGGGCGAGTTGGGTAAAGTCGTCTTTTCAGTAACGGTCGCGATGCTTAGATTTTATTTTATTTCTATTTTTATATTTTGCATTTCGGTTTGCTTACTGATTTTTGGTTCTTGTTTTTAGCTTTGAGATTCGAACCGAAATCGTCACCATCGAAAAGATTGGTTTTCCAAAGCGAACGCCAGAGAAAGAGAGTGAGAGAGAGCGTTTTAGATTGTCAGCTTTTAAAAACAGCAACGCATCTTCTACTTCTTCGTTACAGTCCGTTTCTTTTCTCTTTGCTTTGCTGCAACTTTTGCTTTCGTCGTTGATTCTCTCCTTTTTCTTGAAAGGTACTCTCTGCCTTCTCTTTCCTCAGTTTTGTACGTACATACGAACAAATATGCGACATATACGTATAACCGTAATGATGCTTCAATGTTTTAGTTTCATATGAGTTGATTCATGTACGATAGAAAAACTGGTGGATTTTGTTGATTTCTTGAAACTTTTTTGTTTTTGTGATGTAAGTTAAAATAGTTTTGGTCTTTCATTTTCTTTAATTATATTTTTGTTTGCTAGGCGATGGATTTTTGTGTAGCATTGGTAAATAAATTTAGAAAGATTTGAAGTCGTTGTAAATGAGTAGAGAAGAAAATGAGCTAAAAGATGAGTTAGTGTTTTAAAAATTTTGTGCTTGGAGTTGGTTTTTATTTGTTTTCTTATGTAGTTATTGAATCGGGAATTTTTAAGCTTTTTTTTTATGAAAATTTAATTAATTTAATTTTTTTCGACTCTTATTTGTGTATGTAGATGATTTTAGAGAGTGATTTCCATATAAAATTTACTGTACCCTGTTACCTGCTTCAATTAAGCACTCGCTTTCACTTCTTTTGATTTTACAATGTGAATTCATCATGAAGTAGGGATTTTTTTTCACTGTTTCACCTGTTGTAGAATGTCTTTTTATGCTCTTGGAATAATTTGCTTTGCTACTAACGAATAGTCTGATTGTTTCTTTTATTCTTAGATCAGAGGAAGGAGAATTTCGAAAGTATTGTCATCAGAATCTTATGGTAAGAATCTCTTTGTTTGTGTAATCTGTCCTCGAATGAGAACCTTGGAGTTGACGTAATTTATCTTGTAAGAAACTGTAACCTTTTGGGGCATTATGCATGTCTGGTCCTGTGGCCACTGTTGAAAACGTGGAAGGAGCACTTTCTCGTGCAGAAAGAACAAAATCTCTTGATGCAATTACTGATATAGAAAACGGTTCTATACTAACTAATGGTGATGCTGTCCATAGTTCTGAGACTGCTGGATTTAGAGTTGGGGAACTCTTGCTTCCCAGTGGGGACTCTTATTCTGGGTCATTGCTTGGCAACGTACCAGAAGGTCGAGGAAAGTATGTTTGGCAAGGTGGTTGTGTGTATGAGGGGGAGTGGAGCTGTGGGATGAGGCATGGGACTGGCAAAATACAATGGCCTTGTGGAACTGCTTATGATGGTGAATTCTCAGGTGGTTATATGCATGGTACAGGGACATATATTGGCTCTAACAAATTGACTTATAAGGGGAGATGGAAGTTGAATCTCAAACATGGTTTAGGATATCAAGTTTATCCTAATGGAGATGTGTTTGAAGGCTCTTGGATCCAGGGAATAACAGAAGGTCCTGGAAAATATACTTGGGCCAATGGAAATGTTTATCTAGGGAATATGAAAGGTGGGAAAATGTCAGGCAAAGGGACTCTCACTTGGACAAATGGAGACACCTTTGAAGGAAGCTGGTTAAATGGAATGATGCATGGATTTGGAGTTTATACTTGGAGTGATGGTGGTTGCTATTTAGGAACTTGGACACGGGGTTTAAAAGATGGAAAAGGATCATTTTATCCAAAGGGCAGCCGGCTTCCTGCCTTACAGGGAGTTTACCTCAATGCTCTCAGAAAAAGAGGATTGTTACCAGATTTGAGAAAGCAGATCCATGCACATATCCACCATGCTTCTTCTATAGACATGGGAAGCATCAAGGTTGGTGGCAACCGGGTATCTCATCGTAATTCCAATAAGCTCTCAGAAGGAAACTTATTAAATCTTGAGCAGTCTCGCAACAGAAATGTTTCCCTTGAAAGACGTTGGAGTCTAGAGGTATCTATAGAAAAAGTGATTGGGCACAATTCATCATTAGAGTTATCTGATTCTTTTATAGAAGGGGGAGAAAAGGGGAGCGAAACAAATGCACCAATCTTAGAACGTGAATACATGCAAGGAGTCTTAATTAGTGAGCTTGTATTAAATAATAGTTTTTCACCATCTTCCAGAAGAGCAAAACGGAGACAAAAAAAGTTAGCAAAAGATATTAAGAGGCCTGGTGAAACAATCATTAAAGGCCACAGAAGTTATGATTTAATGCTCAGCTTGCAGCTTGGAATCAGGTCGGTCCTTTGTTTTAACTTTTATGCTTAGTTACCCTTTTCCTTGTATCAGACAATTATGGCTCTTGATTTTGTCATTTGTTTACTGTGCTAAAATTTATTACTGGTTTTGCAATCATCATGGGATAATGAATTCTATTCTCTCTGGTGCCCGTTGTATAGTTTGTCCGGACTGGAGTTTGAACAGCTGTTGTAATTTAATGTCCTTATAGATGTTAATAAAAAACTAGTAGAGATGTGTGAAGTGGTTCAATGAATGAGTATAAACTAAGAATCTAAATGGCCTTCTCTCTTCAGGATAATAGATTAACTATTTATGTGTGCTTGTGAATCAGTTGCAGCTACTACATAAAAACTTTTCTTAATAGTAATTTAAAATTTCTGTATCCTTTACAAAGAATGCACAGAAAGATACATTACGTTTCTCATGGTGGAGAATCAATGTCAGGTCTTCACTTAATTTGCAATCACATGGTTTTGGAAAATCTATTGCTGAATATGAGTTAGATGTGGCCAGATACACTGTGGGGAAAATTACACCTGTACAGAGAAGAGAAGTTAGAGCATCAGACTTTGGCCCCCGAGCAAGCTTTTGGATGAATTTTCCTAAAGAAGGGTCACAATTGACACCACCCCATCAATCAGAAGACTTTAAGTGGAAAGATTACTGCCCAATGGTTTTCAGGTTAGAGATACCTCCATTTTGTTAAAATATGGAGAATTTGTGTGTGCACTCATTATATTTTTTCTTATGTAGTCACTGGGAATTTATCAGACCTTCAGTTTGAAAGTTTGGTCTATCTGCAACTTAGATTACATGACCTTTTAGAAATCAAACCTTTCTAGTGGCATGTTTCTTTTAAAAAGAAAGTGTTTAAAATTTTAATTGTTTTTATTCTTAAAAAGAATATATTTTGATAGACCATAAAATTGATGATAATTTTGGGGTGAATGACATTTTGGTCAGATGTATGTCCTGCCAATTGAGAAACATATTATGTGGAGAGGCAAACTCTTGTAGAGATTTACTAGTATTAAGTTTTTCCTGCACTTTGATGTTTATAAATAGTAATAGTCTTATCTGCAAGATATGTAGAGCTTTTGAAATCCTATATGCTAGTGTCAGTCCGTTCCTTAAAAGCTGAACATACTATGTTACAGGAGTACCTCTTACATCTATCTATGATTTTTTCAGTTTTATTCTTTTGGTACCCTATACAAGCTGCATCTTTGGGTATTATGTGATGCACTGGTATTCTTTAGAAAGTTCTCTATTAGATGAATACATTTTCAGAAAGTAAAATTGCCTGCATCTTTGTTCTTTCATTTTGTGTTTTTAACTTATCTTGTGTGGATATTGTACTACTTTTGTTTCCCATGTGACATATACAAAACTCACTGCAGAAATTTAAGGGAGATGTTCAAAATTGATGCTGCTGACTACATGATGTCCATTTGTGGAAATGATGCTCTCAGAGAACTTTCTTCTCCTGGGAAAAGTGGTAGTATCTTTTTTCTGTCTCAAGATGACCGTTACATGATTAAGACACTCCGGAAATCTGAAGTAAAGGTTTGCAATCTCCATTTTTACCTTGTTTATTTATATTTTCTGGGAACTAGCTCGAGTAAGTACTATAATGCTCACTGGTTGCTCCAATTCGTAATTGTGCATGTCAATTCTGCAATAGACATTCATCACAGTATGCAACTCTTTACTTTTCGAGCTCCTTTATTAAAAACCAATACCTTACTGCAATGTATTTGCAATGTCAAGCTGTCTCTGTTTCTTGTTCCTCTTCTGTCCCTCGTTTTTCCCAGGTCATTGCAGGTTTTATTAACTGAGTTCTTGCTTATAGGTTCTTCTAAGAATGCTTCCAAACTATCATCATCATGTGAGGTCCTATGAGAACACACTCATAACAAAATTCTTTGGTCTTCACAGAATCAAACCATCAAGTGGTCAAAAGGTAATAAGCAGAGTACAGTTCTTTCCTATGCAAGAGGGCTTTTTACCTCAGTCCATACACTTTAATAAGGTGGTTTCACTGAATCCACTTGAATAAAATTATTGTTAAGTACTTTGACTAAGGACTATGTTTTCCATTGCTTATTTCATGGTATATAATGAAAGGTTCCTTCAAGATTGTGGAATGCCTTTTGATCATGAGAAGCTAACAACCATAAACTGTATCCTTCTTGCAGTTTCGCTTTGTAGTGATGGGAAATATGTTCTGCACTGAGTTAAGGATTCATAGAAGATTTGACTTGAAAGGATCATCCCTAGGGCGTTCCGCAGACAATGTTGAAATTGATGAGAACACAACACTTAAAGATTTGGATCTCAACTACTGCTTTTATTTGGAACCTTCTTGGCAAGAAGCTTTATTAAGGTAACGGATGGATTTGTAGCTTGATGTCAATACTATCCTACTTTTTGAAGTTGACATATTCTTGGTGTATCACTTGGTGATGTGAATTGTTCATTTCATAGGAGTAATATTACTATTAATCCTTTTTTAGTAAAATATTTTCGCAATAATTTCTGTATTAGTCCAAGATTTGGTTTACCTTCCAGTTCTGAGAACATAAATGGACAGTTTTCAAGATCCAAAATTTGTTTCTTTTCTATCCTACTGAAAGAGCATTGCTATATAATCTGTTTACCTTCAAAGCATGATTTTATCACACTTGTATATATTTTTATGCAGGCAAATAGAGATTGACAGTAAATTTTTGGAAGCACAACGCATTATGGATTATAGCCTTTTGCTTGGTGTGCATTACCGAGCACCTCAGCATTTGAGGTCTCTCATGTCCTACAACAGAGCAGATGGATTGGGAAGTGTTGCAGAGGAAGGTGGGCATTATGAAAATTTGATCTTCTGTTGGTAGTATTTTCTAGCTTCTTCAATCTGTTTGACGTAATATACTGTCTTTTCTGTTTATTTTTTTGAACAGGATTTTAAGATTTATAATTCTTTTAAGCGTTATTGGGATCAGGTGACTGTGTGGCAGGGTCTGGGAAGAGAGAATAATTACATTCTGACCGATTGAATTACAATTTTTGAAGATGTGGTTTATTACACTACAAATTTAAAAAAAAAAAACGATGAGACGGCATTTTTTCCCAAAATCATTTACATACATGACAATGGGTATACTATCAGTTTACCTCTGATAGAACCCAGAATAAAGAGGTTAGATAAGTACCCTACTAAGGACATATTTGAAACAACAAACTACATCAAATAAGACATGAGGTTGATACCAAATTAACTCCTTACTATTTTGACTTTAATAGCTGTTGGGTACTTTAAGATGGCATGTAGTATCATTGGCCGGTGATAGAACCAGATATATGTTATGCATGGTAGGTAGTTCACACCCGTGGAATCTGGTCTATGCAATCAAAATTATCTGATCCAACTTCTTGCATGCCTACTACTTTTGCATCATCCTATAGGACAGCAGACTGATTCCAAAATCCCTTGGTGTTCATATTTCAGAAGAGGATGAAATCTCCAACTACCCACAAGGCCTTGTATTGGTCCCCCGTGGGACAGATGACAATAGTATTGTTGCGGGTTCTCATATACGGGGAAGACGTTTGCGAGCATCAGCTGCAGGTGACGAGGAAGTAGATCTCCTTCTCCCTGGTACAGCAAGGTATGATATCTTATCACCTCATGATGGTGTTGTTCCATTCTTGCAACGTCGGAAGGCCAAGAATAAGTTTCGTTATTGTTGCCTTCGTGGATTTGGGTATTTTATTTGTATAATCCCTGCTGGGAGGGATCATAGAAACAGAACCAAGGAGGGATAGTACAGATATGTAGTTAGATACCTCTAGAAATGTTGGAAAAGCTGAAAAATAAATCTGTTGCCTATTGCTATAGCTATGGCAAGGTTCTTTTGTGCTCTGCTTTTTGTAAGAGCAATCTTTTCTGAAGTCTAAACTAAGAGACGAGGGATTGAAAGTGATGTAAATATTTATGCATAAATTGACTAGATATTGAGTTCTCTTGCAGTGTATGAACTTTGATTTTTAATCATTTTTTTTTTTTTGGAGGTGGGGGGGATAATTTTTAATTCTTTATCACTTGTTGAACAGACTCCAAATCCAGCTAGGTGTGAACATGCCAGCAAGGGCTGAGCAGATTCCAGGAAAAGAAGAAAACACATTCCACGAAGCATATGACGTTGTTCTGTATCTTGGTATCATCGACATTTTGCAAGAATATAACATGACCAAGAAGATTGAACATGCCTACAAATCTCTTCAGTTTGATTCTGTATCCATCTCTGCTGTGGACCCCACATTTTATTCGCAACGATTCTTGAACTTTATTCAGAAGGTATTTCCCCCAAATTCCACTAAGAATTGACTTGAGCTTTGGGTCCCTATTGTGCCCCTCTTGTGAGCTGTCGAAAGATGGCAAATGTTCCCAATGCTGTGAGTGGGAATGCTGAAATACTTGTTGGAGATGGTCATGTCCAGTGATGTAAAGTACTTGTAAAGATGTGCTCTTAGGGGCCGATTTTAATCTTCGTGTATTATAGTGAGTTATAGTTCCCTGCAATTGTTTTCTTCTGTTTTATGACACTATTGGAGCATATGCTTCCGGTTCCTGTTCTCTTCTTTGGACCTTAAATAAGTTTCTTTTTCGTCTTTTTGGTATACATGCGTTTTATGTTAATTACAATAGACAAGTTGAGTTTTCAAAGAAGTTTTTAGGGACATTTATCGACTTTCTAACTTGCTCCTGGCTATAGGGCATGTGTGAGCTAGAGTCAAAAGGAGCAACTAACTATTTTGAGCATGAATAATACCACTTGTTAGACTTTCAACTTCATCTCTCATCCCCGGTTTCTATTTCAAAATTTGCGTATAAACACGGTTGGGTAGCAGGCTAATCGATTCTGGATTTTGGATCTCAGTCTAAAAACTAGGTATGAAAAAGAAAGCTACGTAATTCCCATGTTTAAAACCAAACCATTAACTTCAATTCATTCATTTTCTAAGCTCAGTTCAAAAATTAACTTCAATTGGTACTGCCGCCTAGACGTGAATATAACCTTCATTGAACTCACAACTTGCAGACATTGATATTTTTTCCAAATCAATGATCTATACACCGCTTTCAACCATTGAAGACCGTTGAAAAAGAGCTGTAAAACGCCTTGCAAGTGTTAAGATCTTTAGCAATAGGCTGCTTCAAGCAAATCGCACTGACATGTATAGCCAATGTAGCGCGAACTGGAACAAAGATACATCTTGAGGACACTCTTGAGTGTTTTTTTTTGCCCAGGTAATAACCACCCAATTACCAGTTTTAACTTATCTGACCCATAAATGATTCAAAAATGCGCTAATTTGCATACATCTTTCATAGAGATAAGACTATCAAGACACTGCATGCCCGGTGACCTACAGTCCCATGTTAGGAGGTGGCGGGGGTGGGTGGCCCTGCATCTGTTGACCAGGAAAACCTTGTGGAGGAGGGATCGTTGGAGGCCTAGGAGTGAAATTTGCCATTGTCCCACTACCCCCAGGAGGTGGGGGGTGGGCTATAGGAGTTCACCAGGAGGCATAGGCCTAGGACCATTTCCCATGGGTGTGCGGAGGTGGTAATGAACCAGGCACTGGAGGTGGAGGGGCTCTAGGAGGATTAGGCAGTCCTTGTGGTGGAGGGGGTGGTGCGGTGGAGCATGAGGTGGTGGGGGCAAAGGCCTTGGAGGAGCACCTGGCGCTGCAGTACCATTGGCTGGAGGGGGAGGTGGAGGTTTGTTTGCCTCTAGTGGCTTAGTTTTGAAATATACTTGCAGCTGCATGTTGATAAATGCCCAAAAAAAAGTAAGATACTATCTAAAAAATTTTTGAAAAATTATCAGAGCTTTTATGTAAAATTAGCAACTAAACCTGCCACAGAGTTTACCAGGTGCAGGTGGAAGAGGGAGAAGAAAAAAGAGATAAACATATGAAGCAGTAAAGCTCATGTCAACTAAACTAACCGTGAACATTTTTGAGTCTGGATCCCAATGTGAGAAGAACTTGGGAGTGGATTTGTCGATCTCTGTGCTAGGGACCTGAAAAGGTAAATTAAATATATACGCACAAATGCTAAGCATAATCTAAATGAATCTATAGGGAAGTACTGTGATCGGCGTACCTTGAAAGCTATGATCTCATATGGTTCTGCTGCAAACAAGAGATACTGATATCTCCTATCAAAAGGTTGCACTCTCTGCATCCACAAACAGTAAAAATGAAACAAGGTTTAGATTTTGCTTTAGATTAAGTGTTGGGACAATGTGAAGTTTGGGTTTTATCGCTTGCAAAGGACCAAATAAAAATAAATAAATAAAAAGTGGAGTAGCATGAAAACATGAACAAGTGCAACTGTAAATAAAGGAGGGAGGAACTATGGGAAGCAATCATGAATTATTCTAACCACGAAAAGACTATGAGGTTAAAAAAAAAAAAAATAGGGTCAAACCTGCTCATATGACGACATAACACGGTGCCTTGGCTTTGTGTTGTCTTCTATTTCAGGATATTCAATCTGCATGAAACACCAAACGATCATTTTCCACAAATAAATGGAAGGATTGAAGAAAAAAAGAAGAAGCTATTTTTTGAAGCAATACAATTGCTGCTGGAAATAATATGCACCTGGAAGAGAAGAGACCTCTGCTTTGTCTCTGGATCATATTGCTTTGTCACACGATACCCCGGCCTGCCAATTTTGACTGCATGAACAACAACAAATGAGCTAACTTTTATAAGTCAAGAAACAAATAAGGAGACTCTGCGAAAAGATATACAAAAAGCTTGAGATTGCTTCAGATGCAAATTTGAATGCTCAAAACAAGGATTGTTAAAAAGTAATATAAGATTTAGAAAGGATTTTCTTCAGTATTTTGGAATGGTTCTAGTAACTTAGAAGTTAAAGCTTTTGCTAGTGCGCGAAAAGAATGTATAAACCTTGTGAATGTATCAGATGCTTTAGCAATAAATTGCTAATTTTGTGTAAGTTGATACATTAAGGCATTTATCTTAAGCCATTTGGATACGTTGTAACCAATATATGTTAAGATGTTCCTTACTTGAAAGTGAGATTTCTTTCTGAAAACCCATTTTGCATGCCGTTAAGAAACTCATTTATACGTTTTCTACATAATCTCAATTCATTTTAGTCCACAAAATCAAACCTTAAAACTACTAATACACATAGCACTAGATTTTTAACGCGTAACTTTAAGTACAAGACACTAACTTCATGCTAACAAGGAACAAAAACCAACAATAACCAAAATTGACAAAGAACAGGGGGATGATAAGAGAGACATGCCTGTCTTCCTAACGGAAACTTTACGCTTGTGAGGCTGAGGCTGAGCGGGAGCCTCCTTAGCCTCACGCGCCGCTCTCTTAGCTAAATTGGTCTGGTGCCGCTTCCCTTGAGTATGTGCCAAGTAGTTCCCTTCATTGTTGTGTAGCGTCAAGCAAAGCTTACACTCATAACTGCCCAATTGAATAGAACATTTACTCTTTAAGGCAAAAAAAATCGAACTTTAAGTATAAAAGAGGGAGAAATTGGATGATAAATTTTACCTGCCCAGATGGTTGCGCATAAAATACGGATCTTTGGCGAGGTCGATGGTCTCGAGGGCGAGTCTACGAAGGCGCTCACGACGGTCCATGGCTTCCGTCTGGGCGGAGGCAGCGCCTCCGGAGCCGGGTTTGGAGCCCCAGTCTCTGTCCATGTTGCTCTCGATTCTTCCTTTGGCTTTCCCTCGCTTGTTAGGGTTTCAATTTGGGGGTTTCCTTTTTGCTTACACTGGAACTACTGCTGATCTAACTGACGATTTGGCGTTGCCAGGTCACGTCGAGGAAGTGGCGGTGGCAAATCCCTTCAAGGGAGCCGAGGGGTGGTTGGCCTTTAAATGTGAAAATACAAACCAGGCCCATTGGGAGATTGGCCCAATTTGTAAAATGCAATCATTGGGTTTCTGGGCCCAAGAAATCTGAACTTTCATGGCTGTTGAGGCCAATCGAGTCAATGAGCCCTATGTCACAAGTATTAGGACTGTTGAACCTTTTGTGGGTTTTCGGATAAATCCCAAAGTCAAAGGCTAGAAATGGTCCAATTCCTAAACTCGTTTGCCCCCCGCCCCACAAGGCTGGCAAAAGCATGGCCTAACACTTAACAACTTGGACCATAATGCTTTAAAGTTCGATAGGAAATGGCCCCATGCACATATACAATAAGCCAGTTGTAGGTATTGGTATTATAATTGCCAGAATAGTTGTAATGATGCCTGTTGCTTTAATATGATCCAAGTGTATTAAACCTCGTTTTTAAAATCAGCACGCTTGTTTCTCACTTTACATTACCCAAAATATGAGGTTGTAGATAGCGAAAGCGCAATTATCACATCCAGTAAAGCATCCCTCGTTGCTGTGCCCTGCCCAAACATGCAGGCCACTCTCTGTCTCAAATCTTATTGTGCTGACTCATTCCCCATGTCTATCGAAAATTGATCATAAAACAATTCTTAATTCTTAATGCTTCACTGAAACTTTGGACAAACTTTATACCTTTCACTAATCTCCCAACATGGCTTCTTCTGTCATCTTTTCCTGTTGAGTAATATGAATTTTAAACAGTAATACGTGCGTCAAGCACATGATTATAATTTTTATTTAATAAATTAATAACGACAACAGCTTACTTAATTTCATGTAATATGTATTGGGATTTATATTTAGCAACTCTTAAAATTCGTTTGAATCTCTACACCTACGAATATTATCGACTTTAAAAGAAAATTAACCCTAACTTAAAATGTTAGTTTTATTTCATACTCGGAGCTATAAAAATATGAGTAACATGCTTGTGAGGCATGCCACGAACAGTGACAACTAACTAAAGATTAATGCACTGATATTCCTAACTTTTGATTTTGTGTAACAATGTTTGATTAATTTGGTGATGATGATCACTGTTGCTCTCACTGGTATATACATGCACGAGGTGCTTTCTTGGATTCTAAAGGAAGGGACTCTCAACAAACTTCAACACGAACAGGTCAAGGGTTTTTATCACTTTCTTGTTTATTTTGCCATGAATATCTTCTTGTTCTTCATTAAACCAGATTTTATACCCTTTCTGAATATATATTGCTTGGAGCAACCGCGTAACCTTATTCCTTTCCCTTAGAAGCTAATAAGCAAAAGTGGGTAGCTACAGGCATTTATGGAGAATCTCCAAAACCTGACATTAGCAAGATTTCGGTGTGAATATATCACCTCTAAATTAATAACATACACTATATATTATATTATAATTTGAATATAACCAAACTAACATTTTATATTTGTTTTTAGCTACGCATATGCAAGCTGTTTATGATGATTATCACGTCCCATCGCTTTAGGAAATATGCCTAGACCCAAAATTTAAGCTATGCTAAACAAATAATCATCAAATTTTAAATTTGAAATTAATACAGCTCACTAATTTAGGGCTAATGTGGTAATAATTATGTTTGTTTAAATTTATAAAAATAAAATAAAATAAAATAAAATTAAAATTTCTTTCCTCTATTGTTCATAAAATTGAAATATTAATTGATAAAAAATGGGTTTTAATTAAAGAAGGGATATTTGAAAAATAAATTTCCAAGACGATATGATTAGATACAAAGCTTAATAAAATCCTTGTTGTTTACTTCTTAATTAAGACCTTGATCCAAACAGTTCCTCAATGTCTCCCGTGAAAGCACCTCTCCACCAGACGGTTGGAAAGTGTTGTCCACGCTCCAGTCTTCCCGCGTGCCACGTCGGTCCTATTCCAACTGTAGGACCCTCCCAAAAGCACACAACCCGATCTCCCTCCAAAAACGACATCGTGCCCATGAAAAAGAGACAGAAAACAAAAAAGAAAAAGAAAAGAATAACGTTGGTGTCAGGTGTTCCCCAGTTAGCCGTTTTCCTTTAGCTTCTGTCTCAAAGAAGGCATTGATTCCCTCTTTCTCTTTCTTTTTTTCTTTCATTATATATTACTACATTTCTTTTTCACTGTACTTTTGAGAGAAAGAAGCCATTCATTTTCTCGCCCTAGGTTTCATTTTTTTTTTGGGGGGGTGATCATCATTGGATACAACAGAGACTTTGAAAAGAAGAGCAAAAGGAGAGATTTTAAAAGTTGGGTTTTGGTTTTTGGATAGAAAGAATTGAGATGGGATCATCGTCAGGGCAAAGTAGTGGAAGCTATGATCTTTCATTCAAGATCTTGTTGATCGGAGACTCGGGTGTCGGCAAGAGTAGTCTTCTTGTTAGCTTCATTTCAGCTTCTGTAGAAGATCTAGCACCAACCATTGGTAACACTTGTCTTCTTTATTTTCTTTACTTTCTCACTGGATCTTTGATTGGTTTTATAGTTAAATGTGATTTGGGTTTTGGTTGAATCTATGTTGTAGGTGTGGATTTTAAGATCAAGTTGCTAACAGTTGGTGGGAAGAGGTTAAAGCTTACTATTTGGGATACTGGTATGAAACTCCTGGGAATGTCGTTTTATTCTTTCATTTTAGTCTTTGAGTTTCAAATTTGGATCTTTTGTCAGCATCTTTCAGTTTAATTGAAGTCAATTGATTTTTCTATTTTACATAGAAGAGAACTCATTTTTACTGACTTAATGTTCGCTGATACATTACTGTGACATTGGCATCAGTCATCCGAGCTCTATTCGTATTGTTCTAATGCTGGCTGCTTGGATATTGACCTTTTTTTTTACCCTATCCCTTAAACTGTTACCATGCAAATTATTGTCTGATTTTTCTCATAAAAACTGTTCTACACACTTGGAAAAAATGTTTGTGGTTAATATGTTTTGATCTGCTTTTTCTTTTATGGCACCATGTCTGCACTCTGCATCTGCAGCATCAACTTTGAAATCCAATTTCAGGAAAGTTAGATACACCATGTGTGGATGAAAAGACCTGTAGACTTGATGATATATTAATCAGTTGAAATGAGTTTCTGGGTTTTCAGTTTGTTGTCAGTGGTATGTTGCTACCTTTCAAATGTGAGAAGAAAATACTTTCTTGACCTGGATAGCTTGATGTTGCTTCTTTAATCTTTTATTAGCTATTAACCTTTTTGTTTTTAAAAATGCATTAAAATGATTGTCTTGCAACATGGAGAAATCATGATTGATTTGTGGAACCATAATGCTTTTGTAGCTGGACAGGAAAGGTTCAGAACATTAACAAACTCTTACTATAGAGGTGCCCAGGGGATCATACTTGGTAAGTTCATCTTTCTAGTCCATGTATGACTTACTCAACTTTCTTGATTTTGTTTGATGGAACCTGTCACTGGTTTCAAGTTGCAAATCATTAGCAATCTGATATCATTTCACAGTGCTATCATAATCATTTATGTGTCCAATAACAAGATTAGGAACTGGTTCTTATGACACTATAGAAGACAGAGTCATGAATATTGTCATACATAATGTTAAAATGTTGATCAAGCTTATCCTCTTGAACTGGCTAAGCACAAGTTTGGTTATAGGTGCTGAAAGATTATGACAAATATAGATTAAATATGTAATAAATTGTTTAATAAAAATGAAAGCGATGATAGTTTATTTTAGAAAGATGGACAGCATACAAAAAGCAGTTTGGACACATTTGGTCTCTTTCTCTCTCACACACATTTCATCTCTGTGTTCCTTTATTCCATAATGTAATTGTATTCTCAATGCCTTAGTCAATCCTTTCTATGAAAATCTGCTTGCTGATTGGAAGGAGTTCGATTGTTCTACAATTCCATGCAGTTTTTATTTATGGCACAAACAATTGCCACTTTTGTCTTGGCTTAGCAATACATTATGGTGGTTGCTGGATCCTAAAAGCTATATTCTTGTCCCAAATAAATTACCAATCGTGGTTCTTGTCAATTCTGGCCAAGGTGTTGAATAAAATATTTCGCTTGCCCATGGTTTAAATTGCCAGATTTGTTTGACATATTTCTTGGCTTTGGTTATAGTTTATGATGTAACACGGAGAGAAACCTTCACAAATTTGTCTGATGTTTGGGCCAAAGAAGTGGAGCTCTACTCTACCAATCAGGACTGTGTCAAGATGCTTGTTGGAAATAAAGTTGATAGAGTAAGTCTATTGTTCTATTTCCAAGCCTCAAAATTAATTTTCGATGATTTATTGACCCCCTTTACAGCTCACCCCCAAAAAGAAAGAGTTAAAAATAGCTTAATAAGTTGTCAATGGGCAATTTTGTGATCTTACGAGGCAGAGTTCCTTTGCTTTCTTCATGTTGAAGAAACCTCATGGAAGAAAGTTGTTAAGAAAAAATCTATTAGTCATACAGCGGCTGTTGCAACTTAATTCCTTGCTCGACAAGGTTCTTGCCTTTATTCTCATCTTAATTCCTTGCTCAGCCAATGTTAGAATACTCTCGTCATGTTCTTCCCTGTATTGTGTGCTCTCAAGATTAAAGTAGATCCAAGATTTCATGAGAAAAAACCATAGGATTGCGGTGTAACCATCAAATTATTTTACTAAAGGTTATAAATGAGTGTTACATGTAGATTAAACTTTGAATTAAACTGACCTTAAGACAATTTAATGATTCATCTTTAGCCATGATGTATCTATACTAATGCAGACTTGAAAACTTCATGTCACTTTCACTGTTGAATTGGGTACCTTAACTCTTGCTTTTCGTTGCTTATGAAAGTGGACTCTAGGTCCTCTCAATTACATCTCTATCTATTCAGTTCTGCAAACTGACTCCTGAAAATCCCTGGAAAATGGTTAAAGAACTAGAAGAACAATGATAAATGATTTTGTCTTAGTAATCCTTCTCTACGATAGCTGCCTCTCAAACTCCAGAAACTTGGCAAAATTGATTTCTTTGGTATACCAGTCTTCTCGTATTTCCTGTCTCTTGATATTGCATTTTATGTTTCCTCATTTGAGGACTTATTTTTTGAGTCATTTGCTTAATTTATGGTCTTCTTCAAATATCCAATTTGTTTACATTTTCAGGATTCTGAGAGGGCTGTAAGTAGAGTTGAAGGGATTGCACTTGCAAAAGAGCTTGGATGTATGTTTCTTGAATGCAGTGCTAAAACAAGAGAAAACGTGGAACAATGCTTTGAGGAGCTTGCATTGAAGGTACTTTCCTGTGACAGCAATTTTGCACATATCTTTCCTGTAATACATACAACATATTAAATATTATTTGCTGGTGGGTCATGTTCAAAGTGACCTAGAATCATGCAGTATATACATCAATCATTATGAATGGTTGTTTCGAAACTTTTTAAAGAGACAAAAGGATTCTTCATGAATGATGATGACAGCAAAAAGTGACTAGATTATTTAGGATTAGATGAGCACATTACAAAAAATTTGGATGATGGATTGCTGTGCAAATTTATCCAATTCTTTCTACTATTATTATATTACCAAGGATAGAGGCTTAGATTTAAAAAACAAAAGTGTAATGGCATAATCTCTTCTCTCAGTTCTGATCAGCTATGGATTTTTTTTCAGATAATGGAGGTTCCCAGTCTTTTGGAAGAAGGGTCTGCTGTAGGAAAGAGAAACATCTTAAAGCAGAAACCAGAGTACCAGGCTCCTCCTGGCGGTAGCTGTTGCTCTTAAATTGCAGCCGTACGGAGGGTACGGAGGCCTCGACGTGAAAGGTTGACATATATCAATAGAAAGAGCCCACACAGCCATGTTGGTGGCTCTAAGCTTCCACCTTAACAGATTGTGAACAAAATCATGTATATGAGAATTTCTTTCAAGATTCTATACTGCTGTTCTTTCCTATGGAGTTGCCATAGTTAAATTGTATCATTGTGACTCAAATTAACTCGTGTAAATTTGTTTGCCTTTTGTTTTTGTCTTGATTAATCTTTAGTTTGTTACTCATGGTAGAAAACCAGATCGAATGTCTTTCATTGATTAATTGACTGTAGGTATTGTTTAAACTTTGGACTGGCTGGCAAAAGTATTACTCACAGCTCTTTTTCCCCTCTTCTGATTTGACTAACATTTTTGCTTTACTATTTTATTGAAATTAAATGAAGCAAAAATCAAATAACATTGTATTAGTCTTTTGAAATTGGAAATAATGGAGGAGTTCATCAGCAATAATGAATCTTGGATCTGGAAATTGGGAAACCTGCATGGTCCCTCCCAAATTGCATTGGATTAAAATCTCAATAAGATTAGAAAAACCCATCAAAGAGTAAATATTAGATATTCCTTTTTGAGTTAACCTTCAACATGGCGCAAGCAATAAATCTCAAGCTCCATCCATATTTCTCATGATCTAAACCAAAACCATTATAACAAGTTATTACCACACCATTTAGGTAGTCTGTCAACAAAAAATAAGATAACTCTCTCTTTTGTTTCCATCTTTTGCCTTTGGATTCAAAGTAACTCAATAAGAGGTAAAACACTACAACAGATTTTGGTTTTAAAAACGCTATAGCATTTACCAGTTTCTCGGAGTCATTAGCAGGGTCAGGTTTTTTTTTTTAATCAAAGGAAAAGAATTCAAACTCTACTCTTTTGGCGAGAAACATGTATTAACCAATGAGTCAAATACTCGAATATGGGTTAGGTTTACTTATATTGATAAGTTGATGCTTCCACCTAGTCTTAGTGCTGTGAGTAATCTCATCTAGTGTTCTCTACCTTCCCTTATGTAGCCTGACATTATGCTCTATCCAAATAGTGTAAATATAAGCACTCCAAACAGGCTTAGACCTGATTGAAATGAGTGTCTTCTCCTTTAATCTGTGTTTTGCCCAGGCACATTCTCTACGCCAATCATCAATGCTTTTGGACAAGATCACAAAGCTGGATGCCATTTCTTGACAATTATTGGCTGGTTGTTTATATGCCACGGACCTGATTCAAGATCCCAATTCTTAGTCTTTTTAATTTGAAAACTACAAGTGAAAGGATTTTAATTGGGAGAAGGAGGCATGGGAACGGTTCAAGGACTGCTTGCAGGGAACCCAGCTTGAGCCGGAGATTAAGGACAAACTAATTTGGAAGCTCACTCCGAATGGTAATTATTCTACCAACTCCTTTTGTAAATCCGTTTTAAGTAATTGCGACACAGACATTGAATTGTGGAAGAATGTGTGGACTGGATTAGCTCCTCCAAAGGTAGAAATCTTTGTATGGCAAGTACTTAAGGGTAGAGTGGCCGTTAAAAGGGAACTTGTCAAAAGAAACCTTATGCAACCGGAGGCGTCCTTGTACGTGTTGTGCAACAACGAAATTGAATCTGTTAATCATCTCTTTTTCACCTGTTTTGAATATTGTGGTGCTCATGGTACGATGATTAGAATATCTCTACCTGCATGCCAAATACTACTATCGTATTTTTTAAGGCATACAACTCTCTTCACGTAAGTATTTCTAAAAGGAAAGTGTGGAGAATGTCATTTTTTATCATCATTTAATTCATTTGGCTTTATAGAAATGAAATGATCTTTGATGGAAAACCTTGGGATCTTGCAAATGCGATGGAAATCATCAAATTGAGGTTGGTATGGTGGGTCAAAACCATCCCAGCTCCAGAGAAGGATCTTGGTCTGATTTTGTCAAGTTCTCTCTCCTTTTGTGTAAATTAGTTTTTCCTTTTAATATAAATACATCACATATTTAATCTTCCAAAAAAATAAAAAATTATATCCACATATCTATTTTTCCCCACAAAAGAAATTGATAAAAGTTTTGTACTCGAGTTTAACATGCGCTTCGGGTCAAGGCCAATGGTCCTAATCTTAGAACCAATGCTAGCAAATACACGAAGTTTAGTATTTTACGGAAACTAAAGAGAGATTCAAGTCATACACAAGTTTTCCGAAGGCACTCTCAATTGTGGTGATAGAACTTGTTGTAAAAGAATTATCAGAAAATCCAAGTAGCAAGCAACTCTTCTACACAGACCATTAAAAACATGAATACTCTAAAGCCAAAATTAAATGGAGAAGGTAAATTTAGTTTTGACTTTGGAAGAAAGTATTGGCAAGTTGACGAGAGAAACATAGTTGACTTAAACCCTATCGCCAATAAGAAGAAGCTTGATGGGATGATCAAAATCGGCGCTCTATCCAGCGTAGCCGTCATTTCCAAGGCGTTTTTTAATAGGAAAGAGAGAACAGAGCCAATAGTTATTAAGCTCTCTCTCTCTCTCTCTCTCTCTCTCTGTTCTCTGCAAAGCTGAGTTGTAGAATTTCCAGTGCAAGAGTAGAATTCAAAGGTCGTTCTGTTTATGGTTGGGAGGAATCTGCTGCTGGCCAATGTAACTGCCAATGGCCCAGCATTTTAGTGATAAGTGATTGGTTGTAGGTCATGAATTTAGTTCATTGATTAGCGAAGAGGAATTTGTGACGCTGCTTCTTGGTCTCCCTGGAAGAATAACATTCGGGATAATGATAGTTGATTCCAGGCTTTACAGTCTATAAGTTTTCATTTGGTTGATTATTCTCGATTCTCGATCATTGATTTGGTTAATGGATATCTTAAGTTAAAACATATACGCTAACTACAAGATAAATTATGACAAGCAAATGAATGAGATATTAAACAAGGGAAGTACAGCTAGTATTAATTATTCTGAGTGTCAGAAAGCAATAGGTTTTTCTCTAGAGTGTGGCAAATAATTTGGATAATTATTTAGCAGTAATTATTGCATTAAGCGATTATAAAGAAAGATAAGTTGGTTATGGCTAAGGGATGCTGCCACGAGGAACAGGGAAGGCTGAGACTTGAAAGCGGCATCAGCCATAGCCTAAAGCCATTAGATGGTACAGAAAACAAGCTGTCCAGTTTGAGCGGTCTTGCAAAGTTGCGACATTATATAACCAAATCATCCAAAAAACAAACTGCATAAGACATAAAATATGATTTGCTGTAAGAAATTTGTTCCTTTGAGATTAACAACAGTCAACAGGGTAGCACTAAAAAGCTATGTAACTTACAAGCTCTCTCTTCTCCTAAGATACTAGTATGTATTAAATTAAATGAGAACAAAAATATTTCATCCTAGCCTCAAAATTATTTGCTGTCAATTGACCACGGCAGAGTGGCGGGAAAAAGAGGCCACCACTCAGCCATGCTCCTCTAACACTAGCTAAACAATTTTCAGGAATCATCGGCTGTAGTTTTATTAGGAGGTCTCAGCCCCAGCAGCAGCATCTAAAACTCTCCACGCTTCCGTTTCAGGGTCAGCTAGCTCATGCGGGATCTGCAGAATTTCAGGTAAGAAACACATTGAGGAAGAGAACATATAAGTTCAAAAATTTTTCTGAAGGCTAACCTTTCCATATATGTTTGTCTTTGTTGGAGAAGCCCCATTAGCCAGCAACAGTCGTAGTACATCCACATGCTCACCTCGTGCTGCATGATGAAGAGGCTGACAAAACAGGGCCATACAGACATGAAGTAGTCATGAACAAGACTTAAGTAGTATGTAAAATACATTTGGTATTCAGACAAACAAGGGAGAAAGACTGAGAGGGAGGAAAAAACTAAGCAGCTGTTTCATTTTAGTTGGTCATTTTAAGTACCCCTTGATAAGAGACCAAAGAATTTCCATTCTTATTTGCTTAGATAAAATTTTTGACCAGTGTGCAATCATATGAGCCAAGCAGAACAGAATCCATTCAAGATGGTTCAAGTATTATGTAGTACTCACAGTATCACCTTCCGCATCAACTGTATCTAGCACCCTTTTCAGACATCCAGCGTTGGTGGCGGTGCCAAGTAGAAGTTGTACTATATCAATAAATCCTGAAAACGTCATCGGAAAAGAAAGAAAAAAAAGTCAATACCTAATTAGAGATAAAGATTCTACACAAAAATATACAGCCTACCCCCTGCACAGGCATCATGTAAAGGAACTGCCCCATCTTCATCCTTGGCCTCCAAATTAGCCCCTCTTTCCAAAAGTAGCTGCATGGGATTAAATTATCAATCATAAGATTTTTTTGGGCTAGAACATAAACAGCATCCAAAATAACCAATGGGAAGAAACATCAATATCAGGACACTGACCTGGACACAAGGTAGATAACCATAAAGGCAGGCAAGATGGAGAGCTGTATCCCCATCTTCTACAGGTTCATCGATGCTGCCATTCAAGTTGTCTACATAATCAAGTGAAAAATAAAACGCATCAGCAGGAGGTACAGTACACAAGGACATTTTAATGTGCAATTGATATGAAAGAAACAGCGTAGCCGGTGTTCCTTTGTGAGAACATATGTTGTGTAACAAGCAAACGAGTATAAATCCTTCCATCTCAATCAATATCTACCAGTGAGGTTACATTGCCAGCAAAAACCAAAACTCAAAACTACAATAAGCAATTAGACTTGCTCAGAAATTTGCCTCAACTTCAGCTCATTCCACTTTTCATGTATCATTATAAACTATAAATCATATATGCAAAGCTTTCATTTCTAAGTCGCTATGGATATGTTAACTACCCACTTCCTTCTATCATTAACAAACTTAGATCAACATAAAAGATATTCCTTTACTTCATCTATTTCCTATAAACACTTTCATCATTTCCTTCGAATTCCAATCTCTTGACCAAGTCTACAAAAAAGGTTCCCATTTTGATTCACAAGTTAATTACTATTACCAAACCAGCATTAACCCAAAATTACTACATGCTTAAGAAATCAAATAGAACTGAAATAGGTTATCTTAAAAACTCATAAAAACACCCAACAAAAAAAGACTGTCATGACAGATCAAAACAACCCCCAAACCACTAATCTTTTTAAGTTTCAAAAAGGAAAAGGATAAAACCGCAGGGTTTTATGGTAATCAAACACCAAAATTTAATGAACGAAGCTAAAACAAAGAGAAGAAGAAGGAGAGAAAAGTAGAAGTAAACGAGGAAGGGAAACAACCTAGGGCGAGGCGAAGAGCGTCCAGGTCGCCGAGCTGGGCGGCGGCGGCGAGGTCACGGAGGTGAGGAGGAGTGTCGGCTTCAAGGTCCATTTCCAGACCGTTTTCTTCAAAGAGAGCGTTTTCGTCGTCGTGCTCGTCTTCTTCCATCAATCCATTGCGTCTCCCTGGAACCGCCATTATTTTTTTTTCGAATTGCTATTTCTCTGTTGTTTTCTCTTTGTTTTGGTTCCTACGGAGAATTAATTAACCTACGATTTTGAGGGGGTTTCGGTTTAGAAGCTTTGCCCCATCAGCAAATTTTCTTTTTACCTTTAACAGCAATAGTATGTATTATTCTTTTTCTTAATTAAGATATAAAACATAATTAAAAAACAATCTCTCAACCATTTAAAAAATTTTAAATAAACTTTTAATTTTTAAAACAAAATAAACTTTATGACTAATGTCACAAGTTGAAACTTATGCCTAATCAATATAAAACACGAACTTATGTTTTCTACCTAAAAAAATATATAATAAATAATAGAATGTTTGTGTTTAGATACCAAAAACTCATTCCATCAATTACTAATGTAGAATCTATAATATTCTACATGTTCTTTACTACAAAAGAAATGGATTCGTACATTAGTCTAAGTTTACTTACACACCATTGTATCTCTCATGGAGTTCATTGTGAAATTTGTGATATTTTACCTACTTTTTACCACTTAAGGAAAGGACTCTTACATTAATCCGAGTTTATCTACCTTATTGTATCTCTCATAGTGTCACTGATCTTATCAAATATATAGAAGAGAGCACTCTTATACTAGTCAAGTTTACATACACCCTTGTATCTCTCATGCGATCCACTAATCTTACCAAATATACAAAGGAGAGGGACTTTTACAATTATTTGAGTTTACAGAGTCCTTGTATCTCTCATGGGGTCGACATTGGTGGTCCACTGATTTTATATCAAACATCACGGGTTGAAACTTAATTAAGCTTAATCTTGTACGGTTTTAAACTCTGAAAATAAAACTTAAGTAAACCTATAAATTATGAACTCACATTCTCAACTCAAAAAACATATCTAATAAGTTGTGAAAAACTCATATTTATATACCTAAGATCCATTTCATGTCTTTCTAATGTGATATCCGTGACAACTAAGGCTTAACTAATTGTTAATAATAAAAATATTATTTGTCATTTTATACTCATATGACGTTAACATGATGTGCTAATGTGACGATAATACTAAAAGTGAAAATATTACATGACAATGTCATTATGTCATATCAGTATAATATAAAACTATCTTGATTAAGGGGGGGGGGGAAAAGTTAAAAATTTGAATTTTTTGATATTATTTATTGGAATTTTGACCTGCATAAGGCAATCAACAATCAGTGAATGAAATCTAGGTTTGGGGTAGAAGGTAGAGTAGAGAGACAAAAGAGTTAGAGAGAAGGAAAGAAGGAAAGAAGGATAAAAAAAACAATTTAAATGTGCTTTAAATAATTTTATCAAAACGATGTAGTTTTGTACAAAAGAGAAAAGAAAAAAAATAATTTTTTTATCTACACATCAATTTCGTCTACCACATTAGTGTTATGTCAGCACTACTAATGATTTGGACAAAAATAGATAAGAGGAACTTAATTGCATAAAATTTTAAAGTGTAAAAACTAAATTAACTAGTTTTGAGATAGAAAGATTAAATTGAGGAAAAAAAATGTATAATACAGCAACCTGTGATGTATTTTGACCAAATAATATAATACTCATGAGGTATCAGTATTTCGTATAATACAAGAACTGAGATGTACTTTGACCAAATAGTATAATACTCATGAGGTATCAGTATTTTTTAAAGAAATGTTGACTATTTGTAGATTTAAAATGACTAATTATGGGTGTAACTTTTTTTTTTTCTGGTAATTGTTAACATATAAAGCACTATGAAGCATGAAGTATCAAAACAGAAAACATGCAAAAATATGACGGGGGAGGTGTATATGTACATAGTTGCGTTTTCGTTAGTTCTGAAAGGGAAAAAGGTAGGAACTAGAATGTCATAACTATAAACAGGCTTTTTCTCTGCCCCACACTGGTCTTTCCATTGAACTTGATGGTCATGTTTGGGCAATAAGAAATGGTCAGAAAGAAGCAGATATTTGTATTCTATTCTGCCCTGGATACTAATCCTCTGCACTCCAACCATAGATTCCTAAAATCCTATGTATTGACATGGTCTCTAGTGTCTGCTCCAGGGGCCAACTCGGTGGGACATTGGTAGATTCAGGCCTTTCACCCCAAAGCCAAGACTTGCGTGCTTGAGTTAGAAAAAAGGGAAATACCCAAATTCAACTATGCATAATATACCAGGATGACTTACCTTTGCATATGCCCATCACATCTGCAGAAACTGATCTCCACTGCAAAACTTACACTTTGTATATGCTCCTCTTATTAATTGAGTGGCCACCACGGCCAGCATGCAGAAAAGAAAAAAGCTTTTTGCCCTCAACAACCACCAAAAACATTAAATACCATCTAAATTGTACGTGAAATTGTAGGCCTCTTGGTGGCCATGAATATTAAAGACTTTAGGATTGGGTTAGTTCTTGTTTTTTTTAGATGATGTGAGACCACCATACATGTGCCAATGTCAAATGAAAATAATCCCCTATTTCTCTCTGTCAACTCTCTCTCTCATGGATTTGGATGCCCCGAGCAAAGTGCTTCACATGGCGTGGCTTTTTAATACCCACGAAATATGCCCATTAGCCCCATTTGACAAACTCTAAAATTTTTAAATAACCTCTTTAATTCATTGTTACTTTTCTCTCTGTCTCTCTCTCTCTCTCTCTCTCTCTCTCTCTTAAGAGGCTGCTATATATTTGCATGGAAAGTGGAGCAAGACAAAAAGGAAAAAACTAGGTATATGTAAGAGTTGGTTGTCCTCTTTGATCTTACAATGAATGGAGTCCTTACATATATATACTTATTTGTGACAACACACGTTCACCTTCACTTGAAGACAAGTATAGGATGAGAGATATCTCTAAAGGCACTTTTTGCAGTGATCCAGTCTCAAACAACTTAATGCTATCATTGTTTTCAGTTTGTAGACGTTTTGGGTCTCAAACATCTTTTGACAAGAATGCTGCTAAGACTAACCTAAATCAAGTAAACAATCAGACTCTTCCGCTCACTAATCACCTTAAGCATAGATCTGTTATCAGGTCCGGTTCTTAATTAAAGTTTGGCTACTAAGTCAGGCTGTTTGTTTAAGGAACTAACAAAATTAATTTGGCCACTTGTTTGTTCACATGGGTCACTACATTAGCTGTGGTTTTAAATCTGAGTGTGAGAGTCTGTGTGTGTGTAGTGTACTTGACCTAAGTGCATAGGTGGATCCATAAAAGGAGGGCAGTTAGCAATCTGGCTGGGTTGCCATCCGTTTAATTTTTGTCATATTAATGAAACAGATAGACAGAGACGGAGCTTTAGCTTTCTTGCAAGCCAAAAAAGAGAACCTAATCCACCACTTTCGGTTGTGGAATTGGTGGTGGCAAACTCATGCCAAACACCCCCTCCCTAATTCTCCTTTGCTCTCCTTACTCCTCTCTCTCTCTCTCTCTCTCTCTCTTTCTTTCTACTTCATCACATGCTTCTTTATCTTTTTATGGATCAAATGCTACTATGAAAAAACAAAATCTAGCTATAGCTAGCAACTTTACCAAAGAATTTTTCAACTTCACTAACATGGAACAAGCTAAATTTAAACGAATTCAAAGAATGGACAATTATGAATGATATTAGTGAGAAATAATGTTAATCATACACATTGATTTTTGGGTGACAGAAACTTCCCCCCAAAAGAATTAAAAAGATATTGGACTTGCATTTCTAGTAATGGCAATCAACCAAAGAAGAAGCCGAGAAAACCAGTAGCTTTTCCTTGGAAGCAAAGGAAAATTTAGTTTCCCTGAGATGATCATCTTCCGGTGCCGGAAGGTTAAGATCCAACTGCAGAACAGTTCTAGGTTTCTTGGACTCCTGTGATTCAGGACTTCTTGTTCCAACACTCAAAGCTGTTGTAGCTGTTGTTGTCGGTACATTAGTAAACGTCCTGTGTCTCCTCATATGACCCCCAAGAGCTTGTCCGGAAGAGAACTCAGCACCACAAATCGAACATTCATGAACTTTGGATTTGCTGCTATTGCATAAAACAGCCTTATTTGTTATTTGGAGTGAAAGGGCTGTGTTCATGTTGTTGAATTGATCGTCATCCTCTCTCACAAACACCAATCCTTTATTCTCTTCATTATTAACCTTGGGCTTCTTATGGCTTGCTCTGTGTCCACCAAGCGCCTGGAACGAAGAGAAGCACCGGTTACATGTTTTGCACTGGTGAACATATATCCCCGTCTTGCTTGTTGTTGCCAAAGAAGCCGGTTCTGATGGTTTTATTCTTGTTTGGCCTTGAGCCAAAAGTATTAAACAATTGGCCATGTCTTCTTCTTCTTCCGTGCTAATTTCTGTTAACTCATCAACAGATGTTGTTGGCGAAGCAACAGCTCTTTCAAACCCTCCCGAATCATCAGTATTTCTCCCACCTTCGCCTCCACTTTCTCCTCCGCTAGATGTCGTGCTTGAAGCCATCACCAAAGTCAGAGGCGACAGCGGCCTTGGACGCTTGGTACGCTTGCCTTTGATGATTTGCAACTGATCTTTACAAAGAACAACTTCCTCCTGACCCTCCATCATCATCATCTCTAATTATATACAACAAAAAGCTTGGAAAAGAGAGAGAGAGAGATGGATGATTGGATGTATGTGATGAAAGCAAGAGAGAAGGGAGTGGATGTTAATATGCAGAAGATATGTTAATTCAGTGAAAGGTTTCTATCAGGAAAAAGAGTCAAAAAAGAAAAAGATTGAAACCCTGTGAACAGTTACCCTGGAATTTGCTTTCCAGTATTGTGTTTCCAACCTTGGAAGTTATAAGTATATATAGGCACAATACAAAAACACAAGTGTATATAATAAGAGAGAGGGAGAGAGAAAGGTGTTGCATTACATATGAAAGGGAAGATGCAATGTCAGTATGCGAAGGCGAGGAAACGAGTGAGATTCGGTTGGCTTTGAAGCAAACCCATTACTTTTTCCCAACGATTCCCTTCTGGGAGGATTGGTTTGCAAGCCTGGAACCACAGAATTTGCGCCTCTCCACCCCCCTTTTTTCTCCTTTTATTTGCTTTTCTTGCTTGGAGTTTCTGTTAGTCTTTGTTAATACTTTTTGTAACCTGGTTTTTTTAACTGCATACAAAACTACTTTAATTAAAACTACCTTTGCCCCAAGTTGGTATTTTGAATGGTTGTTTTGGTGACTAGTTTGGAATAATAAAGCTCCCTTTAACTGATCAATATAACTATTAATTAATACTACTTTCTTAAGCCAACTAACACCAGTATGCTTAATCCCGTAGCCATTCCCTTAATTACTGCCATTTAGGCCACCCCTCTTGATATTAAGTCATTAGATAACCGAATGGGTCAAGACTTCTCAAGACATTAGTTACTCCCTACAAAAAGGGCTCTCCTTGTATTAGTGTTTACCATATATATATATGTATATATACAGCTTTTTACCCTCATACTTAGTTGTCTTAATTTCTGTCTCTAAAAAGGATATTACAATGTCTAAAATTTCAGTTTTAATTATATGGACATTGTGTTAACCCAGTACTCAATCAAGAAGATCATGTGCAGTTGACCCACCCCCAGTCGTGAATTATATATACAGGGTTTGCTTCTTGGGTGGTCAATAACCCCCCCAAATCACGCCGGCTATGTGATCCAAATAATTTGATGAATTTCCTAATCTATTTACCCCAATCATTTGAGGTTGGTAATGGCCACAGAAAAACAGTGACAGCCTTTCCATCAAAACACAGCAGTACATTCTATAAAAAGTCAATCATCAGAGATTATTTTTGTGAACCCTTCCTTTGGAGTTAGTACAGACCAAGAAGATCATTTGTTAATACAGTAGTGTGAATTAATTGGCATGTTCCATTTCTCTAAATTAATGAACCAGTTGACTTTAGCAACATAAACAAATTTGTGGGCAACATCATGCATATGTATGCATTCATTTCTTAGTATAACTATTGTAAATTATTTTTGTACATTTGAGAAATATTAAGAAAAAGCAACGAATTTGATCCTCAGACGCCAAAGAAAAACAACAATCATGTCAGGTTAAGTCGGAATTTCTCATATAAAGTTATAGCCAAAACAATTAGTTGCATAGAACATTCTTGTTTTCTGTGAACAAGGCAGTTTGCATGTTGGAGTCAAGCAATCTGCGAAGCATGAACCGACCATCACATAAATTTTATAAAATGCAAGGACGGCGAGCTAGGTCACAGTTGCAACGGAGGAAGGGAGGGTTTGCCAATTCTACAAGAGAGTGTATGCCAAGTGAATGATTGGAGGGGAGGAGTGTGTCGTGGATGGGATAGATTCTTGGCGTAAGGAATTATTATTTGGGAAGAAAGGATTGTGAGAGGCAAGTAAGGGCAAACGCCAGCATCAGCAGTAGTTAGTGACCTAAAGTAAAGCATCAAACTCTCAAACAATTTCTTTGTGGATTTGGTGGGTGAAGTACTTAAAAATGGAATTTCTTTTCTATGAATTTGTTCTTTGCTTTCCATGCTCTTTTCTTGTTTCCTTAACTCTTCCTTGTACTGCTACTGCTTCTCCACCCCTTTACCTTACATTGTACCTGGAATATAGAAGAATAGAATTATAAGATAATGCAATTTGTTATTCAATTTTAGACAAAATGGAGAGCAAGTCTTCTAGCTGGTGTGTGAACACGTTTTAGGAAGTATGATGTTTACACCTCATACATGTAAAAAAATATCCCAAATGAAAAATGAGAATGATCAATCAATAATTGATTAACTTTGCAAGGGTTTTCCTTGCTTTAATTTATACGGTTTTAATTAGCTTTTAAGGAATGATTTGACACTGAATCATTATTATGGAGAATATGCTTTAAAAAGAATAAAACAGCCGATTACTCTTGTTCTTGGTGTAACAATATTGATCAGATGGAGGATAATCATGGAGAGACAATACGAAGTGAATTATTGATGATAGTGGTACAGGACTAAGGAAGCTCCTTCATGAAGGGAAGTTTCATGGAATGTGAATCTAATAAGAGAGTTTCAAAGCTGCAATGATTATAGAGAGAAAGAGACAATGTTTCATATATATTTTTTAAATTCCTCTGTAACAAGACATTGTGGGGTTGGATTTGGAGTCGACTCAATGCACTATATTTTAGTGCTGCACAATTCATATATTTCAACGTAGTTTCCACTTGACAACTTAAGGTTTTTTCGACAGTTAATTTGTAGATTGTCCTTTCTAGTTTTCTACTACACTAAATCCTATTAATTTATAGGTCACTTGCTTTCACATGTGAGAAAAGAAAATCTTCCCTACTGTCTTTAGCAAGCTACAGTACTGTTAGTCTGTCCCATGAAGCATGAGACTATATTGCCTTTAATTTATATCAACCTTGCTAATTAAAACCTATTAGATTTTAGTTTTTTTTTTTTTCTGTTGAAGGAAGGGAAGTTTTGAAATATGCTAAGTGATCATGCGTATTTTAATCATTAATTTAAATACTTAGATGGGTGTGATTATGCTAACATTAATACATCGAATTTCATCAAAACACCACATTACATCCCTTAAAAAACAATTAAATATTCAGATGTATACTGAAAATTTGATTTAATAATAAAATTTCAAATAATTTATTAATGATAAAGTTTCGATTAATTTATTAAGATTATGGGGCAGAAAATTCCAAGTTGCAAGCACTAAAACCTTTGTTTCATGCAAATATGATCGAGTACTCTTATGGCAGCAATTCATCATTTAGAAGTTGCAATTTAATGCTTGGTTCTGTTGAAGAACTGGTGGTAATGGGGAGGTTCGGGTAGAAGTAGTGGTCACAGTACTATGCTTTTGAAGTAAACCACTTTAGAAGTTGCAACTACAACACCAGAACAGCAAAGACAAGTAACCAAGGAAATGTCTTTCTTTCCAAAGATAACGACTTGATGCCCACTCCCACCAAAAGTTATCTGATTGTTTGAAATGTATAGACCCTTTTGTACAGCTCAAAACCTCTATCTCTCAAAATTAGCAAATATTTTGATTTAATGAAAAATCATTAATTTAATAAATTATCAAGACGTATATATGGTTCACTATTTATATTTTTTGAGTTCAAACTTAAATTTAAGGATAAAATACTCTCATTTTTTTTGTTTTAGTTGAAATTTCAAATGGATCTATTAATTTTCAAAATAGACATTTCACCAAAAAAATATAAATATCATTAACAAAGATTACGAAAAGATTAAAATACTTTTTATTTCTTTATTGATTTTAAAAATTATTATTATATTAAAAAAAAAAAGAGCACCAATCGGTGCTCCTTAATTCTCCAAGAAATGAGAGCACCGGCCGAGGGAGGAGGGAAGTACCGGTGCTTCCCAAGGGGAGCCCATTTGAGGCTCCCTAAAGGAGCATTGGGCTCCCCAAGGGGAGCACCTGATCCAGTGCTCCCTTAAAAGTCCCAATCGAACTTCCCAAGGGAGCTTTAATGCTTTCCATTTAAAGAGATTTTTTTTAATTAATAAAAAAATTAATAAAATTATATAATAATAATTTTAAAAATTAATTAAGAGTAAAATTATTTTTTTATTTTTGTTATGTCATCAAATTGATAAAAACATTAATAGTTGACTAATGGCCAAACCTAAATGTACAATTAAAAATATTTTTTTGAAACGGGGTGTCTATTTTAAAAATTAATAAATCTTCATATAATTTCGATCAAAACTTAAGAGATAAAGCTATTTTATTTTATTTAAATATTTATATATTTTTTCGAAGGTTCATGGTGTGTTTGCTATTCAAAATTGTATATTGAACATTTAGACTACTCACAATTAAGAGATTAATTTGTGTATGTGTGTGTGTATATATATATATATATAATACTTAATAATGTTTAGAGATGTGCACGAGTAAGGTAGTTATTTTTTTAAAATATCTAACTCGAACCTATATCAAAATATTCTAAATACTACCCATTAAATATCTTATTATTTTTATGTATATTATTAATGAAAATTAAATTAATAAATTAAAATCAATTTTAAAAAAATAAATTAAATGAGAGCTAATGATATGTCAAAGATTTCAGAAAGAATAACTGAAATGTAACAAAAAAAATTATAATGAATTGATCAATTTATATAGAATTAAGCTGTGGCTTAATTAATTTATACTAGCGTGATAATTTTCAATAATGCGTCTAAATCTATAGATCAAATACAAATAGTATGAAAAGTTAGGTTAATAATTCTTAAGCAATTAACAATATTGTGATGCTTTTATGGGTAACTAATTATAGTGAAAAAGAAGTAACAATAATTGGAGTATTAAATAAAAAAAATCAAGCAACTAAAAGAAATTCAAATCTATGGTATTGTGAACAAACCGAACTGGGTAGCATAGAGCAATATGGGCGAAAGTAGAAAACCAGGAACTGACCCATCTCCATGGATGCCTCCAACAAACAAAAGTAGCAAACCCTTGAATATCTGATAGCTTTGGGTCAGGTCTCGACTATCCCAAGCTTACTTAGCAAATCCAAGCTAGGGGCATAACTACTGGACCCTAGATGAAGGGGCTGTCCTCTCCATTTTAATTCCAGGTGGACCTTAACATTTATATGCCATAGGCCCTTAAAAACTTTGCATCAAATTTGCAGTGGGCCTTGTGGCCTTGCATCTCCACCATCCCCTCTCCAAAAACCCAAGTGGAATATTACTGCAGTTCCTGAACAAGCACACACCGCTGGCAATACACTTAAAACTCCTTCAATTCCAGAACGGCTAGGAACTT